GTCCGCCGCACGCGGTAATTAGATATACTTAAACGCATCCGCTGTTGCGTAACACGCACATTCGTGCCGTATACACTATGCACACATCCACACACATCGCTCATGCATGTACCTCATACAGGGTGGAAAATAACGTTAATTTCCTCGAACGGATTTACACCGTGCGCTCCGCGGTATTCGTTCGTGTCTAGAAAACTATACGTCGTTTAGGTATAACGACTACAGGTAGAAGCGCCGCCCACGAACTTACAAATCAATCGGTATCGGTTTGATATTACCGTTTGTTTTTAGTGTTTTTACGTAAAAGAATGTGACATTCTTCAGACATTTTCGCTTTGGGTCATATCCAAACGAGTAACGACGCGCATGCCAACGTAACACAATACGAAGCGTCGGCAAGAAATCGCTACGATACAATTTGATTTGATTTAAGATTTTCTGACCACATTTCGAACTGTAGTGTGCACCTATATACGCATAAACGAGGGTAAATCTAACAATTTTTTTTGAAAAACACGAAAACCGACCAAGATTATAGTCACGACTCGTATATGCATATGTCTATTGGATAATAAGATAATAAGTTGTTAATAACATTCATATACTGTTGCCTACCGCAGTATGATGGATATGTAATCGTTTGAACCGTCCTGTAGATGCTTGATACCTATATTAATACACATGCACACAAGTGGTATCCGGTTATGAGGTTTGATGCGGTGTAGGTACGTTATGGCCAGTGGCGGCGACAGGCGCGGGAAAAACTCGAACGGCGGCGGCGGACATGAAGATACGATCGAAAGTGAAAGCCCGTGCCGCGAAAGGCGCGGGAAACGCTGTCGTGTTCCGGCGCGGTAATACTGCGGGGAGAAGTCTCTCCGGGCGGCGGATATATAAATGGCTAGAGACCCGAGCCAGCACATCACCGTTATCGTCCGTCCGCCGGCGCGATAACTGGCATTTGCGCGTTTCTTTGAAACCAATTGCAGTACGGGTGCACAATAAACCACGCATACGATGGCCATCGCGTTACCGTCGTTTTCGCGGCTCGTTTTCACGTTATTGTGCGCGAGTTTCTGTTGCGCGCCGTCTTTGGCTGAACCATTGCAGGAGCGCGGTGTCGTCGCAGACTCATCTGGATTTTCGTCGGCAGGCGGTCACCGATGGCAACAGGATTACGATTACGGCGCCACGGGCCAACACCAACAACAGGAACACGACTACAGTGCCGTTGCAGGCCAACACCAACAACAGGAATACGACTACAGTGCCGCTGCAGGCCAACACCAACAACAGG